CATGATTTATTTTTTCATTTTAAATATTCACTTTTATACAAAAATTTTTATTGGTAATTTTACATTCTTTTCCTGAGGGATGTAAATTTCAAGACCTGCAAAACCTGGGCCTATCTCTGACTACTAGTTTCCCCATTTTGCACTTGAGAAATTAAAGCAGGTCAGACAGCTAGTAAGCAATAGACCCCAGTTCAAATCCTGGTCTCAGAGCCTGCATATCTTAAACCATTACACTCTCACAACCATTACATAATGGTTTTCTACCATTATGCTCTTTATTAACATATTCTTAGCTACTGCATTATTATCTCTATCACCTACTATTAGTTGATACTACTCCAGTTGATATTACTCCAGTTAGTTGCTATTATGCCAGTTAAACTCAAGTCTAGAGGCATCAGAGTCTGACTTATGACCCAAACTAATATCTTAGAATGTGACTGTAATACACTTATGAATCACTCAAGAAGGCAAAATGAGAACTGCAGCATTAAGTGTTTTTTGGTGTTGTATAAATGTTGCAAAGTGTATTTACACAAACTACAATGGTTACAATGTCACTAGGCAATATAATCTCAAGGGGTCACTGTTGTTCATACAGGTAGTTGTTAACTAAAACTTCGTTTATGCAGTATATGTTTATACACAACATGTACTTGGTAATAGGGTCTTTAAAGAGGAAATGAAGTTAAAATAAGGCCCTCATGCAGTGTGATTAGTGTTCCTATGAGAAGAGGAGATTAGGACACCAACATGTGCAGATGGAAGATACGTGATGGTTAATCATTTTTTTTGCCAGTACACTAAGGATTAATGGCCTTCACACTGGAGCTACATCCCAGCCCTTTTCTGGAGACAAGGTCTTGCTAAATTGCTAATTACCAGGCTGAGCCTGCACTTGTGAGCCTCTGGCCTCAGCCTGCCAGAGGCTGGGATTAGGTGTATGTGCCACCATGATCAGCTTGATGGTTAATCTTGAATGTCACCTTGAATGGCTTGACAGATACCTATGAGATTAGTAAAGAAACCAATGTGTATGTCTGGCTGGGTTATGAGGTCACAATCCTAGGTCCTGTATCTGGTCCCTGGCCCCCTTTTCTGTCATTCTTTCACTCTGCTTCTTGGGTGCCATAAGGTGAGCAGCTTCCCTCTGCCACACCCTTCTGCCATGATGTTTCTTCCTTGGAGTCAGCTGACCATGGACTGAAACTATGAGCCAGGTAAAGTTTTCCCCCTAAGTTGTGTATGTCAGGTCTTTTGTCCAGTTAATGGAAAGGTGACTAATGGACCATGTGAAGGTACAGGGAAGTTGGCCATCTACAGGTCCCTGATAAAGACCTCAGAAGAAACCAGCCCTGTCAGCACCTTGATCTCAGACTTCTAGCTTCCAGAATGGTGGGAAATGAATTTCTGTGCTTATCTCACCAGTCCATGGCATTTTATGACAGCTTTAGCAAAAGAATACAAGGGTCAAATGACTTACCAAAGATACTCCAGTTACTGACAGAGTCAGAATGCAAACACAGATTTTTCTGCATTCAAACTACATGTTCTTCTTTCTGCACCACAATACCCCTCAGCTAAAAACCACAGGCAAACACACTGTGATGCTGCACACATCTCAGCAAGAGCATGAGAGAGGACTTAGAAATGGATGTGAGCTGCATTAGATGATCTGTGCCAATCTCCAGAAGGTTAGATTTTCCTCTGGATCAGATACTTTCAGGAAGCAGACTTAATTCTATGCTTAAGCATCTTAAGAGAGAAGCAAGTGTGGCTAGAGCTGTGACTGATAATGAAGCAGCAGTTGCTCAGATTAGACAGGACGGGGACGTCTGGGCATTTTTGTGGTTTGGATAATGTATGTGTTTTTGTCTGTGACCAGATGTGAGTACAGAGTGGTCCTGTTTTGTCTTAATTCATCATGACCAGAGCCGGGGATTTAGCTCAGTGGTTCTGCCACCTACCTTGCAAGCACAAGGACCCAAGTTCGATCCCTGGTACCAAAAATAAAAACAAAAACATTAAAAAAAAATTCATCATGACCATAGAATGGATATGCTGATTTTTTTTTTTTAAATGAATCTGTTCAGTAAGAGAACATTTAGACCTAGCTGTGAGCACCAGGTCAGCTCTTGACTGCCAGGGACTTTCTCAGTATCAAGAAATAAGCTGCAAGTGCCAAATTTCATCACGTTACCAGTTCTAGCTGAGATTCTTTTTTGGCACTTGAAAAAAAGGCGTGTTTTTTTTTTTCAGGAAATGTCAGGAAAAAAACCCAGTCATGAGTGTCTATAACATAAATGAAGTTATTGTAGACGTCACATGGAATCATCCCACTCTATCATCAAAGTGCCAGAGTTGACATCTTTGTATCTGAGCTGCTAAATATATTCTATGACAGCATGAAAGAAGAGATATCTGTATGTCACCTGCCTTTCAGTCTGCATTCTCCAGGGCTACAAGTAAGATGTTCATTTTTAAAAATGTCATGACTGTCTCTGACTTCACTTAGAAAATATTTAGATGTGAATGTTCACTGGTTTTATAATCTTCTATCAGTTTTAGGACTTAATAGACAACTTTCCATGACACATGGGAGAAGTATAAGGTTTAGAGAACGCAACTTCCTGGTCACTGATTATTTTTCTGAGAGGCAAAATCAAGCCTGGGAAACAGAACTGGCAAATGGGCAGGAAGAGAATAGGTGAAGAGAGAAAGTGGGAAGAGGGAAGTAGGCATTAGAGATTCTAGGCAATAGCTTATTATTTCCTTATTGGTTGGTATTGACTTCTGTGCTCCTTGTGGCTATGAGCTATCTGGGCAATCCTACTTTATTGATTGCCATCACTAGACAAGTTGCTCTGGAAGAGAAGCAGATGCAGGAAGGGAGAGACCAGGGTCATCTGGTTGTACTATACCACAAGCAGATAGATTTCCTGTTGCTACTCTGTAAAATGTGTTTCTATTTTATGTTCATGTATCTGTGTAGATCCAGTCCTCTGATTAGTCTCCCCTCATTTTGTGGTTTCTGTGTTGCTGTGAAAAATCACCAGAAAAGCTGGATGCAGTGGTGGATGCCTGTAATCCCAGCACTCTGGGAGGCTGAAGCAGGAAGATCAAAGTTGAAGCCCACCTAGGCAATTCAGCGACTTAGTGAGACCCTATCTCAAAACAAAAGAAATACAAAGGGCTTATTTTTATTCAAAAAATTAAAAGACTCAGGCCTTGGGTTCAATCCCTAATGCCAAAAAGCAAAAAAATTACTAGAAAAGCATCCTCTGCTGCAATCACTGTTTTCACCCATTTGGAGCACTCATTCCCGAGGCACTGTGTTTTGCCAGTGTCTTGTTATGCTGCCCAGGCTGTTTGCAAATTCCTGGGCTCAAATGATCTTCCTGCCTCAACCTCCTGAGTAGCCAGGACTACAGGTGTGCACCCACTAAGAGCTTTGCTAGCAATGAGGCATATGTGTCATCAGCAGCTCCCCAAACTGAGAATTGCTGTCTGTTGCTACCAGTAGGAATTACAATTCCCTCTACATTCATTTCTTGACAATTATTCCCCTCATTGTGCTTTTCTGATACAGTGCTTTCTTAAGTAGTGTAGAATCAGTGAGCTCTAAATATCTTTGGCAGGGTCATCATATTTCTAAGGAAAGTAAAAATGATCCATGCTAAATAAAATGTTACCCAAAAAAAGCTAGGCAAGGAAATAGAAGAAACAAGCCCAGATACGTGAGGAAACTGAAAAAACACATACCACACCTGTATTTTAAAATGATCAGGATATCATTATTCATTCATTCACCATTATTGTTTACATAGCTGACATGACATCAGGCACTGGGAACATAGCAACAAGCAAGATAGACAAATTTCCTTGCCACCAAGGAGCATATAATCCAGCATGCAAGAGAGACATTAAGCAAATAAATTACAGAATTAATCAAAATAGCAATAACTAATAAACAGGAAGTAGAGGGTGCTATAATATATACTTAATTGATTCTGAAAGATTAGGGAAAGTTTTCAGAAATAGCATTTAAAATTTTTTAAATGTAAGAGTTTTGGTTTTAAAATACAAGAAGGAAAAATAAAAATATTTAGGTGGAATGAAACTGTATGTAAGTGGGATGGCTTAGCTAGTGACAGATCAGTTTTCCCTCCTAAAACCACCAAAATACGGAACAAAATAGAGAAAGCACTTATTTTAAAGCAGAGGACAATTGTGAGTCAGCAAGCTCTCAAGGGGCTGAGATTCTGGAAAGGGAGAACTCAGAGAAGAGCTAAGTACCATAGCCACTTTACACAGGGCCATTTGCAGATTTTGCACATGGTTCAGAGTTCACAGCCCTAGGGCTAACACACCTGGAAGATGACTTCTGGAAGACAGAGACCAGTGCGGCTACTGGAGGAGATTTGGAAGTTCCCTGTGATGGTTGAGCGATTGTGTCAATTGGAGAAGTTTGGCTAAGAGAAGCTTAGCTAAATTGGCTCAGCAATTCCACACCTTAGGGTGTGGGAGATCCACCCTAGGGCTACGCCTCGCCTGACTGTTATAAAGGGGAAATGAGGAAGGTCGAGTTCTCTTCTTCTGTTCCTTTGGAGGAGCTCCAGCTTTGCTTTCCATCGCAGACCCTTCGGCCTCCTGATACAGACCCTGACAGGACACTACAGTGAGCTCCAGAACTTTGACTGAATTCTTTGGTCTCCAGTGTGTGGAGACACCCTCTGGACTCCTCCTCATCTGACCCTGTGGGTAGCTATTGTAAGCTAATCTTGTAAATTCTTATGTATATATCTATATATCTTGTGTTCTATCAGTTTCTCTAGAAAATACTGCATTATAGTTCCCCTAGAACACCTTTTAAATTCAGGGAATCAAAGAGTCTAAAAGTAGCAACAGATATCCTCTGACAGAAGAACACAGCATTCAGAAATCTTGTGAGACAAAGATCAGAATTTGGGGCTCAGAAAGGGTAGGGATGTGGAGAGTACATCAGGATTTCCATGGAAAATCCCAAAGACACAGCAGTAAATTCAAAGTAGATTGAGCCTTACCAGAGCTGCAATGAAGCCTCCACCAAGTACAGTCCATTGTGGATTCAGGTGATCAGTCACCAATTGGATATATAAGAGACCTTTGGAAAATTAATATGATTTTTTTTACATGAGAAAATAAAGGACAATGACATCAAAGAATACTGCAGATTTTAAAGGGGTCATGAGGAGAATTTGTTCTAGCAGACATTAACATGTGCTAGTATTGTTACTGGGTTTTGGAGTGCTGGAGTCTCCCTCTGGAGATGATTTTTAGGTTCTTTCTGTCCTGAGCAAAGAATTGATCAAGATAAGCTCAAATGGTAGCAAAGTTTTATTAAGGTGGGAAAAGAAACAGGCTCTGCAGAGTAAGTTTGAGCAAGTAAAAGTAGGAAAAGAATCCAGCACAGGGTTGGGGATTTAGCTCAGAGGTTCTGCCACCTGCCCTGCGAGTGCAAGGACCCGAATTCTATCCCCGGTACCAAAAAAAAAAAAAAGAATCCAGCACAATGCTCCATATATTTGAGAGGATTTAAGCAGAAGCCATTTTGGGTAGAGGTTAATTATTTAAGATTGAGCTACAGAACAACTAGGAAACAACTGCACTTAAGTGTCAGGTAAAAGGCCGAAAACCAAGACCAGACCAGGCCACAACAAGCCTTTATTAGGGGAACAGATCTGCCAGGCTGTCTCTGAACAAAGGAGAGATAAAAGCAATATGGCCAGGACAGAAAGTGCTCTTTATAGGAACAGGGGTGGGGCTTGTAGGAGCTGAGGTGGGGTTGAGTGAGGTAGTGGCTAGGGACTGGAGGAGACTGTGACATCACTAGTTGCTAGGAGGAGAGCAAGTATTAGGTTACTCTTTTGGTGGGAGTAGGGGCATGTTGAAAAAAGGTAGGCATTAAATACAGCACCCGCCCTAAATTGGAGGGAAATCTATCATTAAGGGTTTCTTGGGTCACTCTACCACAATGACTGTGTGGAGGATGGCCACAAAAGACAATCGTGCAGAGAGCGCAGGCTAGATATAGATCACCTGTGAGTTTAAGCTCCAGAATGGAGGACACAGGGATCCTGGCCTCTGTAGTGAAAATCCAAGCAGTCATGTGGTTTTCTGAGGGGACTGAGTCTGAAAGTGCTGGCGTTAAGTCCAGCAGACTGCTTGAAACCCTCCCTCCCATTGCCTCCACAAGCACAGAACTCAGTGGTCTGCTTGCTTTCACCATCTGCCAACGTTATCAGATATACACCTTGGCTTGAATGGGTGCTGTAGTCTGGGGTGTATAGAAAGAAGGGCCTCTGGAGATGGGGAGGAGCATCAAAAAACCCACAGGCTGTAAAGATAGGCAGAGAAAGCAGTGACACGGGGCACACAGAGGGACACAGAAAATGGGAGTGGCTGGAGTGACTAGCCCTAGGGCTGACACTATTTACCAACTATGCCCAGCAAGAAAGTCAGGAAAGGACTCAGTATTCACACTCAGAAACATAATGTGGAAGCAAAGTAGGACTTAAATACTATCTCACTATTCCTCCTGCATATCTATCTGGTGGATTTAAATAATGCAGATCCTAGAAAGAAATTGAGATAGGAAATTAGGGTGTGGCAAACTGGCTGAGCAAGGGGGCATGCAGGACATGCACCGAAAAAGAGTTCCAATCAGAAAGTGTGATCTTTAATTCTTTTCACAGGATCACAAGCAGGACTTTGATGGAATGACTTAGACCTGATGTCAGCCTGAGAAGTGGGAGACACAAAAGACAGCTGTCTTTAAACTCTTGGCCACTCTGCTCTCTCCTTCACAGTGGCATGATCTCACCTTGTAGAGTATAGCTCTTTTCCTACCTTTAATTAGCCTGTATTCACTCTGCAAACATGTTTCTTTTCCTACCTTTAATAAATGTAAAACCTCACTAAATTTTGCACTTGTCTTATCCAATTCTTTGTTCAGGACAGGAAGAACCTAGAAAGACTCTCTATAAGGAGTCTCCAGAACACGAGAGGCCAGTAACAAAGCTACTTATTAACAAACACAGAGGAATTTTTAGACTCACTTTGCTTTTCCCACATGGTGGGGGAGGAGTAGGTTATTATTTTATGCTTTTGCTCTGTGTTGTTTTATCTTCCCTTTTCCCCCTCTTTCTTTCTTTCTTTCTTTCTTTCGGTACCAGGGATCAAACTCACGACCTTATGCTTTCAAGGCAGGCACGGCAGCGCTGAGCTAAATCCCCAGCCCCTCCTTTTTTTTTCCTTGATTGTCCACTTTTGCTTTTATCTCATTCTATTTTCTTTTACTCCTTAATATGATCCATCTTGCTTTTCTCTCATCCTTCTTTTATTTTTCAAATTGTACTTCTTTCATTTATCCCTTCCCCACATCTTGCATTTTCATGAGTATTAATTTTTTTTTTTTTTTTT